AGGAAAAACAAAGAAACAGCCAAAACAAAAAGCCAGGAAAAGTATTCCTTAAAGGTTCTGGTCAGACAACATCCAGAGCTACCGATATAATTTAGAAAACACTTCACGCTGGCTACAAAGTTCTAGCAGCAGTCTGTGGAATTACACCAAAAAAAAAAAAGTTTTAATGATTTTAAGAAATTCCTTAAATTATAAAGCTTTTAGTTCCCTGTCATTGAAAGTTATTTTTCACCTCATTCTAATGGGTATATTTCAGCATTTAACATGATTAGAATAACAAATGCTGATTTTAAGGAGGTAAAAGATGGTACTTAAAACGTAATTCAAAGTATTACATTACACTTGCCACCATGAATCTGCAAACATGCTCAGTGTCATTAAGAAAAACACTCTTGTATATAGCGTGCTTCCTTCATACTGTCAAATTATTTATTCCCTGGGCAAATTAATGAAATCAGAAACAGGATGGAATTTCTTACAACAGAAGCAAATTAATTGTGGGCCCCACAAAACCATAGCCATTTACGTTAGAAGTTTAATGTTTGACCAATACAGCAGTCTAACACTAATGATTTGCCACTCGTCTTTCAATTAAGTGACAAAGTCAAGAATACTAAGATCTCCATTAGACAGGCTCTCACATCTCCTACAAAAACACAAAAAAACTTGTTTTCTCAATTAAGAGAAGTTACAGCAATCCCACAGAAACTGCAGAGGTAAAATCTCTTTGCAAGATCTTTACTACTCAGAATTAATCAAAGCAAAACAGCCACCCTAGTGATAATCCCCTTTAGCGCTTCACAGTTTATGCAATAGTCAATTACACAAGAGGATGAAAGACAGAACAATCTTTGGAAATAGGTCACTGTCTATAATGATTAAAACCAGCCTGCTACTAAAAGTAACTTTTAATAAGCATAAAGTTACATTGAGACAGTGCATGTATTTTACTGTTAAATATATTCTATGTCTCCTATTACAGAAGAGCAGGTAACACGCATCAGAAACAAGGTTATGTGAAATAATATGTGAAATGTAGGTTATGCATTAGCATTGCTGAAAGCAGATTTTAATTTCTGCCTCTAATGATTTTATTCCAAAGTATCATCATAAAGACAAATCCTAGCCATTCTTCACATGATCTCTGAACTTAGCCAACTCTT